GAAATGTTAAAAGCATGTTACAGCAGACAATATACTATCATTTTGTAAAGTTTAAAACATATTATTTAGGAATAATTATATATAATTAAAATATTTTTAAAAGTCAAGGAAAACTAAACTCACAAGTCACAACAATCACGTCTTGGTGTGGCGGGAGGAAGCGGAGGACCCGAAAGTGGGCAGAATGTTTACGCACTGTTCTCGTTTCTACATCAGGTTGAGGCCTCACAGGTGCTCACTTCATTAAGCTCCCCACCATATATGTTTGTATATACCAAATATCACATGAACATAGTTCAAATAATTTACACAATATTTTAATGGCTAACTCACAGAAATGTCAGAAGAATTGGAGAATTAGGTCTGCAGCCTCCACACTCAAAAGCAAACGGTGTGTTGGTAATGTCCCAGTTTCCATAGCTGGTTTCAACTACAGGCTAGGTGTTACAGAACTCGGAATGGGGGAGAGGAGCTGCCAATCAGTGCTCATGAGCTGAACCACTGGGTGCAGCACCCTGCAAGCACTCAGCTCTGTACCATTGATCTCACGGGCCTTGGGGACTTCCCTGGAAACTCAATTCTTCTGCAGCTTCGCCTGTTAATGAGAGGATTCACCACAGTTCCTGCTGTTTTGTATGACTGGCCCAAGTCCAGAGCAGCTACACCTGACAGCAGAACTGAGGCACAGACGCACAACACAGCTGCAAAGGAGGCTGGGGGGAAAGTATCTGAAATTTTCTCCTCCACCACCAAGACTCTGAAGACGCGAAATTGCCCCCCAAACACCGGAGGAGCATCCAGGTTCTAGAAATCAGAAACAGCCACTATACTTATCTTCTGTGCACTGTTATCAGGCAAGAAGATTTTGTCAAGCTCTATTTTTTATAGTTTGTACAATAAAATAGCTTTTCTTGGTTTATTTTCTAAAATAGAAATAATGCCACATATGAGGTGTGTGTGAGTGTGTGTACGTACGTACATACATATCTATGGTTGACCCTTGAATACGGGTTTGAAATGCACAGGTCCACCTATACAGAGAAAAATACTGTATATGTATTTTCTCCTCCTTGATTTTCTTAATAACATTTTCCTTTCTCTAGTTTACTTTACTGTAAGACTATAGTATATAATACATGTATCAAATGTGTGTAAATCAACTGTTTATGTTATTAGTAAGGCTTCCAGTCAATAGTAGGCTGTTAGTAGTAGTTAAGGTTTTGGGGAGTCCAAAGTTATACGAGGATTCTTGAGTGTGTGGGGGCAGGGGAGTTTGATGCCCCAACCCCCTCACTGTTTAAGTACCAACTGCATACCTATACACACATACACACCCCCCTACCCTAAAGATTAAAAAATGCTTCCAAATGGGGATCTGCCCACTATTCCCTCAATGAACATTATATGGCTAAACATTCACAGTCTAGCAAGAAAAGCAGCCTCCGCACTTCACCCAGCTGAGCGGTGCCCCTTCTTTGTATGTCCTTCTGACCTGACATTTGTTTCACTGTGTTGACATTGCTGGTTTCTCGATCTCCCGCTGGGCTGTGTGTTCCAACAAGGCAGGGCTGTGCTATTGATCTCTGCATCCCTTGAACTTAGCACAGATATACATTTGAAAACTGCTTGATAAATATGTCCTTGTGTTTTTACTACAGTTTATTCAGCATTTACCAGATATGCCAGAAAATGTAGTGGGATCTTTACAGAAGTTATTCAATTTACCTCCAGAACTATAATGTTAGGACCGTTTGTGTATCTTAGATGAGAAAATAGAGAGCAGGAGGTAAATTATTTTGCCAGAAGTCACTCGGCTAGTAAGAGGCAGAATGAGAATTCAAATTCTATCTCACACCAGAATTGTCTTCTTTCTATTACACATTATAAAACTATGATAAAATTTGTTATGTGCTACAAGCAGATGTAGGTATAAAGGGCAACAGGCATATTAATCGTTAAAAATTAATTCTGCTTGAAAGAGGTCAAGAAAAGTAGAAGTGGCATTTGAGTTGGGATCTGAAGAATAAACAGCAGTCTGTCTGGCAGTTTCGGGAAGGACGTTCCATGCACGGGGCAATTATTAAAGTGCTGCGGCAACACGACTGACTCGAAGGAAGTTGCCATTCCCTCATCTCCAAAGGAAAACGGAGGACAGCGATAATTTCTATCTTCAGTGCTGTTCAGAGGACTACACACACAATACATGTAAATTACTCAGCACGGGACCTGGCACAGAGAGGCTCTCAGTGAGGGGGGAGGGGGGGAAGGAGGAGGGTTCACTGAAAACCAGGGTTCGCCTGGGTAAGCCAGGGGCTTGAAAGAAATGGCATGGGCAAAGTGGTCCCGGATCCTGATCTCAAATTCTTCAAATGATATTCATATTCATATACAGAGAGTTTAAATGTAAAGAAGTCAATAAACAATAATAAAAGAAAACATTTCTAAATCATGAATAAGGAGGTATATTTACCAAATGATCTAAAAGTCCCATCCCTCAGAAAAATTTAAAACAGGCTATTATAAATGCTTGGTAATTTAGAAATAGGCAATGTAACCATGGTTAGGTTTTCCCAACCTTGAAATCCCCTGTAAAAAGCATCAATTTATACCTCAAAGTAACGGCACAGCACATAATTTATTTTACTCAATCATTCAGAGTAATGACAGCTAATGAAATATAAGGAAAACACTGTGGATTCCCCAGCCAAAAGTAACACTTCTCCTAGTGTGCCATTTGCTTATTTCCACATCAGTATCCTTCACCTCTTTAGCTTTTGTTCTCTGGGAGAATTAAAACAAAACAAAACAAAACAAAAAAACAGTGAACAGTTTGTCTCTCGATTAAGAGAAGAGTATCTAATATATATTGTTTAGTGCAGTTGTTTTTAAACTCCACAGAAGTTCTATTAATAATTACCAACAAGCACTTTAAAACAAAGCACAGTAAAATCGGGGTTTCACTAATCCACTACTCTGAAAAATAGAAGCACGTTTAATTTTAATAACTCACTAAAAGGAACACTGGTAAACTGTCTTATGTAGCACAGAATAAACTAACATATATGAAACATGATACAATTTTATTTAAATTAAAACTTTTTGCAATTATTATTTTTTTTAATTTCTAGACTGAAGGTGTGAAGGCATTCACTTTGAATTTTAAGACAGTGGAACCATCTTGTGGTTGATGTCGGTATTGCCGAAGCTTTGAGAAGGTCACTTAAAACATTTGGAAAAATTAGGTCCGTAATCCCAGTTTCACATTTAAAAAGGCACATACAACATGTCAGTCCTAGGCCTTAGATGACAAAAATAAACACAGAACTGAAGTCTTTCCTGTTAGGGTTCCACAGGAACGTCATCAACGGACTGGGTAACAGTATTTTTACATTAACCTGTATTTTATAATTAATTTCTATACCTTGGTTTGAAAGCTAAAGCTATGAAAATAAGTACAGTAAAATAATAATAAGCTTAGAGAAGAATACAAAAAAAAATCTTTTTTTTTTTAATCTGAATTATCCTGCCACCTGCTGGCAGCTAAGCGGCAGCTCAGCTCGGGCCGGGAATGGAATCGGAGACCCTGTTGCTCAGAGCTCACACTCTTCTGCGAGCTCTTAACTAACTGAGCCACTTGGCCGGCCCTGAAAAACCTTAAACAGTTTACTAGGAAGCATAGTTTTATTTCTTTGGTGTCAAGACTTTTCCCCATGATTTTTTGCTTACAAGCTACCATGTTCCAGGACCCTGTAGTATCTGAGAAATGTAAAACTGGCCCTGAAAAACTCAGGGCACATCCCTCCACTGTCACAATCTTTATGGCCAAAAAACCAAACATAAACTGCCTATGGGGAAAATCTGTCACACTTGGAAGCCTAGAGAAAAATGTCATGCTCCCACTCTCACCACTTTTTAAATGTGTCCAAAAACTTTGCATGAAGGTTATGGGCAACCTTATGGAGAAAAACTAGGCACTGCAAAATCATGTTAAGAAGTGAATGGAAGGGAAGAGGGAACAACCTGAGCAAAAACTGTATCAATTACCAATAAAGCTACTTTCACATTTTGCCCTTCTATTGTCTCCCAAATTAATCGGCGATAATTAACAGTAATTACTAAGATTTCAGTTTCAAACTCCAGATGACAATGCCCTCTGAAGGCCCCAGATTTGTCTTACAACAGGAGAGATATAAACTCAGTGGGACTAGGGTTAACTGGTCTTCTCCTAACTACAGTCCTACACTCTCTCTCACCCAACCAAAGAGCTATCAGCTCTCCATTCTTCCTTCCCACCCTCCAATTCCCAAATGCTGAAAACGGTACTATCTAAGTCTTATTACCTATAATAACACATAGCATGTAAGCATTTACTTTTGGCCGCTGGGGAAAGTTTGAAGAGGCCTCTCTACGCTACTTTACCCCCAGAGAGGACTGTGCTGTCCTGGAGCACCTCCAGCACCCTGTAGGGCCCTGAGGTCTAGCCAATCAGCTTCCAAAGGGGTGGAAAGTCAGGTGGCTGAGGCCCTGTCAGAGGGACCACACAAGACCACTGTGAGCGGCCTCTTCCTGCCTTTGGCTTCTTAAATATCCAATCCTCACATTTTCCTCTGGCTTTCTCTCTCTTAAAAATGGTAGCATCACAGGCCAGCTTGGAACTTAGCAGGAGCAGTCACAGCTTCTGGCCTGCTTTGATTCTATCACACTCGGATGCACTTAGCTCAAGTAACAGAGTTCTGCCTTGGGGTTGGGGGTCAGAACCCAGTCAGTAATGAGGTATCCATTGGCCTACTTCATCTACTGGATTCCCCTGGAGATCTCTCAGTAATGAGATACCCAGCCAAGTAGTAAGGATTCACGCACTCTTAGATATCCAGGACAGAAATACTATCCTAAATTGCTCACAACCCTCAATCCTTGACACATGCAGTGCATGATGCTTAGTACGCCATGTACGTCATCTCATTTAATTCTTTAATGTCATCAGAGAGATGATATTTGAAGGGTAAGAAGAATAAAATCTAGCAAGATAAAAGAACTTACCAGAAGTCTCTAAAACTAATAAGCAGGAGCATCAGGGTGGATTTAAGTAAGTCCAGCCCAATGAGGCTAAGATCTGCATCGTTCCTGCATGTTACCACGCCCTAAAGGTTCACCTTTCTCTCCACACTCCATCTGAAACACACCACACCCACACCTCTGCTTCCCGAGACAGCTGGCCTAGCTCCTATTTTAAGTTTTCTGTCAACGTTAGTTTTTGGAAAGTTAATTTCCAGTATGAATCTATTTGGAAGATCACTAGGTAACTCAGCTTTTTCTTTCATTCATTCATTCTCTTTTAATGTAAAAAGGAAGCTAGAAAATAATATAATTTTATATCAAATTTGACATGTTCAAGGAATAGACAGGTTACTTATTCAACTACTCTGCTTACTAAATGTTGCCCTATTTTATGCACAGATTAAAATTTTAATTTTAATTTTTTAATTTTAAACAAGAACTACAACATAGTAAAAGGACTGACTAGTTGATATCTAAAATTTTTATCCTCGTATTTTAAAAAAACCACTGAAAAATATCATAACATGACTATTTACACATACATATATGCATGTATAATGCAAAATGAAAGGAATAACCAAATGCAACAGCTCTGCCAAATTACTCCTAATATTCTCTCACAATTTTATACTTTTATATTAATAAGTTCATTAAATAAAGATGGTAACAGGTAACTAAAATAAAAGGTACAAAAAGGTCCTTGTCCTGAATTCTGATAATATCTGATAAGTCCCACAAGCAAGTGTGCCATAGTTACACTTCCTAAAACAAGGTTTTAAAAAAATGTTTAAAAGTCACCAAAAGTTTAAAAGTTTAAGTCTTAATAATTTTCCATGTGTATAGGAAATCACTAATGATGACTCTGTGACCTGTTCACCTCCAAACATTTGGCAGTTGAAGTCTTCATCGACAAAAACTAATTCCAGTAATTTAGCAGATGTTCTTACTTACTGTAATTAGCATAATTTAGGAAGTTAAGATGTTTCTTTACCTTTTCTACCTTTCCACCATTGATGTCACTGGGGAGGAATTTCTTGCCAATTGTTCTCAAGTCTGTCTAAAATAAAAATATTATTATTAAAACATAATTGAAGAGAAAAGTAAATCTAATCTCACAAACAAAAGATGAAATTACCTAAGATTTGTGGAACAAAATTTAAGTAAATGTCTTTTAGGTGATTATGAGATCTATACATATAATCAGTCTTTTCAAACAGCACAGTCCCATACATATGCTATTTAAAGTGCACTAGGAGGTTGAACATTGATATCTATCTATCTACCTATCATCTATATATCTATCTATCTATCTATCTATCTATCTATATCTATCTATTTATCATCTATCTGTCTATCTATTGCCTTGATTCTGGTCATATTTCTTTAGGTAACCTTTCAATTTATTAAATTTTCTCTACTGAAATCTAAAACTTGATTTTATGTAAACTACAGTCTATTTTAAAATTAATGCCATAATCCAAAAGCAAATGAGTACCTTTACATAAAAGTACACGTTTTTGATAATTGAATCCTACATAACCTCTATATGCAGACATGATACCGATAACATAACAAAGGTACATAACATACAAGTATCCCAGGAAACAATTCCACTGCAACAGCAAGAAATACAGTAAGACTTACTATAGTAAACAGTTATTGAATTTGCTTAAACAAATTACAGAAGTTTAAGTTTGTGAAAAATTAACTCCATGAAGATGCAGAAATACACGTTACTCAGCAAACCAAACAAAACATAACAAAGGGCTAACATAAACAAAGCTATAGCATTTCTGACATAAAAACAGAATTTCAACTACACAGTCTACATAAAAAGCAGAACTTTGAAGGATTTTGTCCTCTTTAGAAGTGAAAACTAAAGAAATTGTAAGAAATTTATTCAGAGGAAAGCTGTCAACCATCATGAAAAAAGGCCTAATTATTTGAGCTAAGATATTTTCTCGATTACTGAGAGTGAGGTTAGATGAATAAATTTGTATGATTTTGTTCTTCCTTAAAATATAGTAAACGGTAGCTCTTGATCACCTTAACAGCAATACAAGAAAATAGAGTTAGTGTGAATTTAATCACATAAATTATAAGGGATACATTTATGTTAGACTTAAGAAGAAAATACTAGATAATAACAATTACTAAATATGAAATTAATACATATAGAGAAGTAGAATAGTCTTAACTATTATTGAACAATCAATTATGGAACACTTACAATAACAGAATATCCTGTCGTTTGAAATACCCACGTGTGGTCAGCTTTAAAAAAAAGCATGTTATACAACCCCCACAGATCTTTCCAGTCTTTTACTCCCATGATTCATAATTTACTTCTCAATATAATGCAAGGATCACTCCTAAGCTAAAACTCACCTAATGGAATTGTCAGGCAAACTAAGCCCCAAATCTAAATACCTGCCTGACAACGCTTTAGGTTTATCCTTTTTTCAGTCTCCATCCAATAGCAGAGTGAAAGGATTATAAACCATACCTCAAGTTGTAGCCTTTTCACTTTGAAAATACTGAGTAACATCTGGGGGGAAAACACTTTCTTATACTACCCCTCCCTATATTAGGGTTGTTTTGTAGATTAACTGTTAATACAGGTGAAGCACTTGGCACAATGACTTACAATGAGTAAGCATTTAATTAATGTTAGCTCTCATGTTTATTTTAGTGAATATAAAACATGTACATTTTATCATCTGAAAATGTATAACCATTAATTCAATAATACAACTCACAGTTCATAAAAACATAGGCATTATTTTAAAATCACTTAAAGGCTGAACTATTTAAATACATATGAGAAACATAATACATACAAATTTTATGGTACACTATGGTCCCTCGTTTCTGGTTTTTATCAGTAATTATGAATGATACTAAATGAAAATGAGGCATTAATATAAAGCATAGATGAGCATTAGATTAAAACTCTAAACTTTGATTCACTGTAAACCGTAATTAACTAATATGACCTTGGGCCCTGTCACAAATTCTCTAAATCCAGTTAATTTATTCCTTTATAAAACAGAGACAAAAAAATCACCAACCCTATCTCACAAAGTTGTTGTCAAGCTAAAAGGAGCCAATATAGTCAAAGCTTATTTAACTTCTAAAGTGCTATACACACATATAATTAATGTTATTTAATTGTTCTTTTAGCAAGATGAAAATGACCTACCAAATCTTTAAACATCCTAAATTCAAAGTCAATTTATAGTACTGCAAAGATAATTTTCAAGATTCAGATGCCATTATATCAGGATTAGTAGGACAAATGGGTCCAAAAGTACATTTATATTGAACGTAAAAAATTATGCAGGAGAAATATTTAGCTTTCAAATACACATGTATGCATGCACACACACAAAAGATTCCTATGTATTCAAATAAGTTCAACAGACTACCTACGTGGTAAGTCATTTTATATTATATAGAATCTTAATAGAAAAAAATCTGTTTTTGAAATGTTTACTAATATACGGTATTCAGTAATTTAAGACTGGGCTATCACTTAATTTTTTTCTGAATAATTCAGATATTTGCACACAAAACTACATGTTGTATTTCAATGTTATTTCATAATATTCTTACTCCCCATTTTACAGAGTAAAAAATTAAGAACGCTATTTTTCAACAGAAAAATCTGCCCAGAAAATAGCACTTAGCAGCTCTGAGGCTACTAATTTAGAAGGGCTGGCATCTGGGAACTTCGCACTTGAACCATTTCCTAACTGAAAATGTGGGTTACTACCTACTAGACTATTTGTAAAAACAATGTGATTTATGGTGCATACCTGCTTTTTTGAGGGGAGAGTTAGAATGTTGTTTCATGTCAGGCAGAGAGTGCCTCATGAGCAGTCCATGAAAGCCTTGGGTACTAATCTAATGGACTTCCCTGGGCAGAAACACTGTGAACGTACTTTGCATTGCTCATTGCTTGATAAAGGAACACGCTCAGCATGTCCCCCACAGGAGGAAGAGCGCATAAGAAAGCTTGTGCATGGATTCTTCTTCTCATATGTAATAAGTTACATACAATCAGAATCAATAACACAAGTCTTTCTAGACTAGTGACTAACATCCCACAATCACTCAAAAGTTGAAAAAAATTCAAAAGAAATATTATAAACGCCTGATTTTATTTAAAGGTGATAAACTTGAAAAGTACATTATTTTGTCTGGTGTAGATTTCATCCTAATTCAAAGTATTTTTTCCCCCTGTTATATGGCATGATAGCTTGAATTGGAGTATTCAACTATATATTTCAGAGAAAATTACAAGGACAAATTAATTCATTACAATATTGGTCATCATCTACCTCTTAGGTGCATAGGACAAATACTTCATCTTGATTTGTTTTATTTAAAGTTTCACACCCAGTAATAAATAGTTCATTGTTCTTTACCTAAGTATATAAATAAGAAGAGTAAAAAGTTGAAGATAGTCACAAATTTTTTTTCCTATCATCTTCAGGATGTTTTTTAATAAACAAAGAAATAGAGACTTTACGACATTTTTTGAAAGTACAATTCACTAATTTGGGTGCAAGTCAAAGCAAGTTAAAATATCTGGGGAATATTTCCATTTGTAGTCATAGATAACCTGCATACTTTCTAACTAACGCTCATTTAAAAAATTGAAAGTCTTTAATATTTAGCTCAGAAACAAAAAACAGATCTTGTTGGTCTCACTGAATAAAATTCCGAGAGACTGAAAAAACGATTTTTCAAAACATAAATTTTATCTTTTTAAACCCAAGTTTAATTATGTAAAGTATAAATTTAAGTGATTTGAAAAGAAAACGTTATATGCAGTTATATATTTATATTTTAAATGCTACCAGTTGCTGTCATTTCTGCTTTATGTTATACCTGTTTTGCAGTAATATGACTGTCAGTAACTCTCTTATTAATTCATTATGTATCATAATATATAAATTTGATTAACAGATTGTTATTGTAAAGACAATGTAAAAACTTCCACTGGGGGGCCGGCCGAGTGGCGCGATGGTTAAGAACTCGCTTGGGATGCCAGAGGGCCCCGGTT